ATATAATTATATATATATATATATATATATACACACACACTATTTTGAGAGAGAGAGAGACAGAGACAGCTTCCCATCCACTGATTCATTCCCAAATGTCAACCAGCTCAGGCTGAGCTGGGTCAAAACCAGGAACTGGGAACTCAATCTAGGTCTCTCACAGGGGTGGCAGGGACACAAGTATTTGGGCTATCACTACTTCCTCTTAGGATCTGCATTAACCTGAAGGTGGAGTCAGGGACAAGAGCCAGGTATCTAACCCAGATAATTAGATTTGGGATGAAACATCTTAACCCTTAAGCTAAAATCTGCCCTTCGGTAATAGTACTTTACTGCCTTTGTTAGAGGGTAGTAGGAGTCTCCTTTGAGATTTTGTGTAAACAAAAAGTTTTCTTAATGAAGTAGAGATTTGTTACTCTGAATAACAAGTTCGGAAATCTAGCAAGAACTTCGCTTTGTTTAGAAGCAAATATGACTCACTGGGAAAATACAAAAATATAGTAAACTAGAGGTGACTTGATATCATTATGAGAGAAATAAACTTGTAGTTGCCCTATTTTTTTTTTTTCTGAAAGGTAAAGTTTATCCATTTAGTAGCACTTGCCTCCTTTAATAACTGAAAAGTTTTCTTAATTTTCTCTTTCATTTTAAATGCAGTAATTATGAGTCAACACTGGAAAATCAAAGCTAGAGCTTTCATAGATATTCTGAAATCTTAAAAAAAGCAAGCACCAACCAAACTAAAACCCCTTAACGGAAAAGAAACTTTCAATTAAGATATAAATACTCTCAATAATTTGTTCTAATGATGATTTGAATCTAATTATTAGTAAGAAAAAGAGAATTAGAGCTGTACCTTGATGATCTTTACCTTTTTTTCTGAATTACCTGGTCATTTTCCCCACAAGACATGTTTATTATGTCACATTCCTTATAACATAAAACTAAATTTTTATTCTAAGAAACCTTTGAAACACCCAATACTGAGCTTTTTAAGGGAATAACAAGGGAAATGTAGAGCTTTTACTTTTACGCTGTTCAATGTAAGATTTTTCTTTTCCTTAATTTCAGTTATATGTTAGCTCCAGTAATGAGTAATCGTTTCTTTCCCTGGTTAAGTGGATCATGTTTGAAAGGATTTTATGCAACCAATGCATTCATAATTATTATGACATTTAGTTGGGCCAGTGAGTTAGCTTGGAGGCCAAGAAATTAATGCCTGATGGTTTCTAATGGAGTGCACCTTTGAGGTAGTTTGTACACATAGTAACGGTGATGTTTGGCATCAAACAATAAAAAATGAAAAAAATAAAAAAAAATCTGATACTTGATGAGATTCAACTGTTTATAAGAGAGGTTGTCTTAGAGAACCCAGAAAACATGCTCCCCTCTACCAGATGGAGCCTGAGGAGTTTGGAAATAATTTTTGGAGAATTTGAGGTCCAAAATATTTCTTTCTGTAGGGGACTGCAAATTCAACTCACATTGAACAAGTATTTATTTATTTACTTACTATGTAAAGAGCTAACCCCCATTGACATGGCAACCATAACAAACAGAAAATAGGCATTGATCTCTAAACTTTAACCTTGAAAATTACCTGAAGGCAAAGCTAGTGGTGTGAAACTCATTTTCAAGGTAAAATTTTGTGCGTTTAGGAGACACTGCATACTCATTAGTTAAATTGAGCTAAATAAAATTCATACTGCTTTTGCTGAACATTATGAAGACTGAAAAATTGTTGTAAAAGTTAATCATAAAAACTCAGGTAGGTGACTTCAGTGCCTAATGCACTCCTCTATGTCTTGAAATCTTCACATAAAAAGAATTAAAAAAATTTAAAAGGAATATGTTGTAATTTGAGTATCTTCTAATTCATGGCACTTGAGATTAAAAAAGTTAAGGTAACTGTATTAAAGAAAGTGACGCATCTGCTTTAAATTTCTTTGCTGTATAAAGACATGAATACCACCTGTGAATTAATAATAATGGCTTTTAACTCATAACCCTAATTTCTTTTCAATTAATCATAATCTTCTTTATCTCAAGCTGTAAAAAAGGATCATAATCATGAATTTTGAAATTATTTTCCTAAGTACTTCATTCTAATAAGGAAAAGCCAGTCTGTGCCCTCTGTTAGTGTAAATGCTCCCACTTATGTGGTAGGAGTCCTAAAAGTGAAGGCCAGTTTTTGTAACCTTTTCTTTCTCAGCCTCTTCCATGGAGATCTATGAAGTCTTTTTAGATTTGCTATGCTGTCTTTCTTAATATGGATAGGGATGAATAATACAAGCTGATAAAAGGGAAAAAATAGAATGGGGGAATACAAGAGCAATGCACAGAGGGACTGAGAAAGACAACCTTGGAAAATTTAATAAAGGAATAGGGAAAAAAAGACCTAGCACTGGGAAAAATATTGAGATGAGAAATTTAATTGATTTTTTGTAGAACAGAAATTTGGTAGGGGAAGTTACCAACATAGATTTTTGGGAAATGTGTTTGGGTGATATGTAATGTAATTCATTCTTCACCAGCCCTTCGAAGACAAGGACTTTGCTATTTTAGAACTGGATAGGGATTTGTTTTCCTTTCATGAGCTGAGATAGCCCTTCCAGCTGTAGCTATAAGACTGTTTAATTCAGGTAATAGTTTGACAGATTTTAAAGAATATCACAGAGTGAAATGAGAAACGCTTTTTTTTTTATTATGGCATGTATAGCTTATTTATCAAAAGCTATAACTGCAAAAATAGTGCTGGAATTCAGGGCTGTGGCATAGTGCTGCCATGGCAGCATCCCATATGGGTGCTGGTTCAAGTCCTGGCTGTTCCTCTTCCATTCAGCTCCCTGCTAATGGTCTGGGAGAGCAGTGGAAAAAGGGCCGAATTCTTGGGCCCCTGTCACCCATGTGGGAGACCCAGATGAAGCTCCTGGATTCATCCTGGCTAAGTCCTGGCTGTTGTGGTCATCTGGGGAGTGAACCAGAAGGTGGAAGATATCTCTCTCTTTCTCCTCCCCCTATCCCCCGCTAACACTGACTTTGAAATAAATAAATCTTTAAAAAAATTCCAAATGAATTTGGTATTTTAACCGTTAATACTTCTGGACATTATAATGCCTGAGATCATTAGATCCATGACTGACGGGCAGTAAAAAATTGTTATTCTTATATTTTAATGTTTCTGTTTAATTTTGCACACATATTTCATCCTTACTCTGACCATGATGAGGTTCAAAATTACACCGAAGATTATCATGCTTACAGTTTTGAAGTGTAGAAATGTAAGTAAAAAGAAATTCTGAGGTCAATATGGAGTGAGAGACAAAGTGAAAAGGAAGTTTTATAATACTATAAAAGATAGAAGGAAAGGAAAAGAAAGAAGTGCAAATTAACCAGATACAGACAAACTCATCAGACTTTTATAAAAGAAATATTCTTAACAGAGATCCATAACCTTGAAATCACAGAATGCCCATCCCATAGAAGTTTGAATACTTTAATAGAATTTATTTCATCAAGGTATACAGATGTTACTGACAGAGTCCTATAGAGGATGTTATTATTCTATTCTTTATTTTTCTAAATACCTTTTTGTTGTATTATAAAAATAAATATATGATTAATAAATTTAATCTGTTTTACATCTGTTATTATTTAATATATATTTGAAGACAAGTAAATATGGAAACTTTATATTTCCTCTAAATGTATCCCGAGTTGTGTAAATGTACCAAGCAAACTACAGACAGTCTATGAGTGATGCATGACCATGCAGGTTGATGGCTAGGAAATGTTGCTAGCTATTTTTGACACACTTAAAAAGTGATGGATTTCCCACTGTTTCCTTTTTTTTTAACTTTAAGAATACTCTAAAGACTTCCTTCTATCTCTATACATTATTTTCAAACAAGAAAATTCAAGTTGTTGTAGACAAAACCAGGAGATAAATAATCAAAATAAATAAGCAAAAAAGAAAGTATGCTGAAGGTTCTAATAGAATCAGATAGTCAACAAAATCTTAAAATAAGAAAAAAGAAAAAATAATACTTCTTTGTATAATGTTACAATCACAAAAATGTTAAGTAGGTAGAAATTTGAGAATGTGGGTAGGGCACCATTATATCTAGATCAGATAAAAAGCTATTTATTAACTACGCATGTTTAGACAACTTGCTGTGTATTTTTTTCTTGCTTAACATATTCTCCTTACTCTTCCACCTCGCACAGCAGTCATTTTTGTGGTTGTAACAATTGACTGATTTTTATAATTGCATTTGTTCATAAGATGGCACTATTTTGATCAGCTGATTCAGCTTCATTCACTGAAAATGTCTTTCTGTTACTAATCTCTGAGATGATTATGACAACACATCCTAGCTGTGTTCGCATTTTGATGTAACTGCATCATGGATCTCAGTTTATACTCACTATATATAGTGAATATGCTCATGTGTAAGATCTGTTTATGCTATCTGTGGTGTATTCATATTTATTTCTTAGAATGTTGAAGAAACACCTCAGTATGCTGATGTAACTCACTTCTGCAAACAAAAGAATTCTTAAACTTGCAAAATGGATCCACATCAGATAGTCAGCTAGATGTGCTTATTTTCTTGGAACATTATACAACTATCATAAAATTCTGCTTAAAATAAATTAAATAAATGTTTTATTTTAAATCTAAGGGTATGATCCTAGACCTTTATTCAAAGCATTTCTTCTGAGAACAATGAATTTTCTCAGTGCTTTGACAATTACTTATGTCAACTTGCCAAGGTGAACCAAGGGAACAGTCATGGGTTTAATTCATGCTTCTTTCTATGAAAGCCATTAGAGTAAGGGACTCACTCCCGGTCTTTCCAGGGATAATCTTAATAAGGTAGTAGAGAAATATACTATAGTTTGTAAAAAATCTGAGGGGAAAAGCCTCTAAACTACCTTCTACTATGAAACATGTAGGGCACTATAAAGGTAATTAAAAAAAATATAGACAAACCTTGGAAGATTTAAAAGCACATTATTTTTCACCCTCTCCCTCCCCAATAACCCTTTTCTTACCATAGTCACAACTAACAAGAATTCACTACATGGAGTCATTGGTCATTTCTGTAAGTAATTCTACCAACATCAGGCACCAACAATTAAATGGTTAAAAAATAAACAACAATACAACCCATAGAGTTGAATATAATTAATTAAAATATAAATATTTATGTCAATTTGGAAATTACTTGATCACAAAACATGAAAGAAAAGTCAACTATCTCTTTCTCATCTACAATCAAACTCTACATGCATCATTAAGGATGCCACACCTGGACTAATTCCTTCTGGTTAAGACCATGAACACTTCCCAAATACAAGTACTGCTGTACAGAATTACACATCCATGCTGAGTTATCTATCATTGCGTAGTGATAATCTGCAGTGGGCCAGGGTTTCACTTGCAGGTTATTCAGAGAAGACCTATGGAGCATGACTTTAAAATCCAAGTTGGAAGCATAAACATAAAGTATGTGCTTAGAGTCTGAGCAGGACAGCGTGGTTTGTGAAGTGATGTCTGGAGAATCTGAAGAAAGGGTGGAAGAGAGTATATCTTTCTTTCATTTTAGAAATGCTGAGGCACAAAACACAGGTGCAGGTAGTACTTTCATACATGAAATCCTTTCTCCTGTATGTGCATCATGTGTAAACGTAAAGTCTGTATACTGCTGACTATTCGTCTCTGGTGTCCAATGAGTATGACTCCAATTCTCCTAATGTCACTGAGAGAGAGAGAGAGAGAGAAATTAGGTATGGGATATAGAAAATCAACATTTAGATCTATTAAATATGCACTATATCCCATTTTCTAAAAATTGTGTCATTTAGATGTTAAGAGATATAAATAAGCAGTAAGTATATACTTTTTTCCTCATTCTGTATCCACAGAATACATCAAATTAATCTCAAACTTAATTATATGAGAACAAATTTCATATCCAGGTACCTAAGTAATGTTCAAACATTTCATATGCCTAAAGGTATATAATTTAGGTATGCAATAAAATTAGCAAAATGATGATCATATAAGGTAGAAGGTATAATGTGTACTCTATTTAATCTGAAGAAAGTCATAATATTCGACTAGTTGCAATTTCTGTTATGATATAAAAACAACTGAAATTTCATATTTTTCAATTTAATCATCATAGTATGTGGTCTTTTAAACACATACTGGACAGTTTTAGGCAAAGCATAATCTTTGAGACAATACAAAATGGTTGACTTACAAAATAAAAAAAGAAACTCTGAAATGATATAAAACTGTATTACTTTGATGTAAGTACTAGGAATTGGTCATACAATATTGCTATATGGTACAACAATGTTGATGTAAAATCTATGACATGAATAAGAGTCATATGCATTTTAGAAAGCATTTAAATATTTTAAATAGCTATTTGAATTAAATAGATTTTTAAACATAGTAATTAGAAGTATAATGTACAACTTCTACCAGAATGATTGTCAGGAATGATGAGGCAATGACATAGTAGCCATAAGAAACGTATTCTTGATATATCATTTGAATTTATAATCCTTTGGGCAGAGCATCTAGTTACAGTAATAATCGTGACATCACTTACTCAATGCTCATTCTTGAAATCAGATCAAAAGTTGTAAATCCTGCTGCCATGAAGTTATTTTTATATTGTCCCATCTTTATAGAATCCAGCCAGTCACCGACTGTAACAAATAAAGGATATTCGGAAACTTCACCAGGGGACTCTGGCATTCTAGAAGGAAAAGAATCACAAGGACTTTAAAGCCAAATAAAGTAAAAAGTATTCAATTTTTCTTTTTCCTCTTAACAATATTCTGAATTCTTATGTTTTTATCTTCTATTAAAAACATCTCTAAATTTCCATCTTACACAAATTAGTGATTTTAAAAAATGTTTTTATTTACCAAATCAGTTTCTTTTACAAAAGTTAGTTTCTTTTGTCTTTTTCTGCCTTTTCTGACCACTGGGTCTTGGTAGATCCTGGGAAAGCTCACTCCAGCTATCTTTGCTTTTACTTTTGTCTCATGTATAACATTGCATTTAATTGGGGAACAACCCACTCCTCACCTCCATAAGGAGAGTAGCCAGCCACCAACTATTCAAACTTCCACTTTCTGACTCACCACTGAGTTCATGTCCTTTTACCTTTTCCATACTGGCTGAAGCAGTTCTTGTCTTTTTTTTTTTTTTATGGTGAATTCATTGATTGAGCCTCCATTTATTTTCAAATATTCAAAAACAATGTATTATTTGTGAACAAGTAATTTCTGCTGTCATAGACCTCAGTTGCATGATAAGATTGACATATACCCAAGCTTAGATATTAATAAGACACAAAAGAAAGCAAAATCAATGCAAGGTTAGATTAATAAGAAAAAGGAATCTAGTATCGATAGCTCTCAAAAGGAGTGATACAGCATCCTTACATTTAGATTTTGTTTTTAGGTCCTAATACAAAGGCCATTGCAATTGTGGGTACTTTTATAATTTTAATATAAAAATACAAATGTGACATTTTAGAAAGACGGGTATACATTGTGTATATTCCTTAATCTACATACATGTTATATATATGAAGTAGTTAGATATGAACTCACATAATAAAGTTTATCAGGTAAGAAAATATGGAATTAAAATTAGAGTAAAAATAACACAGATTAGTATGTTTATGTCATTCTGGAAATAAATTGTATTATTCTCACAAAATATGTGAAAATTAATGTTAAAATGTTTTGCATGTTTAAAAAATATGTGATAAGTGCTTTTATTGTAATCTATGTGTTATAAACTTGCTAGGATAATAAATCTCATTTTAAACTTTTTACATCTTGAGTTCATATTAATTAGTAAAGCAATAAATCTTTTAAAAATACATTTAGTGTTTGAGTAAAATCAGTATTTTCTAAGTAATGAAAAACTTTCTTATTAGAAGTGAAATCAGTGAATTAATTTTATTAGAATATTGAGGGTTAGTTCAACTTTCACCTACTTTGTTTTTAATTTTTCACAAGTGAAAGAATGACAGGATCCATGGCAATTTCAGTAGAGCCATAGTTTTTAACATTTTGATTTGAAACAGTTTAACACGTTTTTTTCCATTCATATTTGAACCATGTCAGCTTTAACAGGAACTGCTAACATGTGAGCACACATGATCATCCAACATGAAATAAGAACTGCTCCACTGTGGATCTTCTGTATAACTCTGGTATTGTTCTGTTACCTGTGTACAGGAGTCAGAGTTGCATTCTAAGTTTAAAGCTTAAAGCAAACATGGAAAAATTCCTACCAATAAGAACTGCCCTTACAATCCTTTAAATTTCTTTTAAACCACCAGGACTTGAGTCTTTTAGGAGCACAAGTTGTATGTGGCTTGACTCCTGAAGACTTTGAAAGATGTCTCTTGGAATTCAGGACAGAGTTCCTACTAAAGACCTAGAATTCATTTCTTTCTTTGTCTTCGAGTGCTATATTGACCACATTAAACTGTCGTTTTCAGTACTACTCAATTCTATTACCACAATTCCTATTTGGGAGGCTAAATTATATTACAATTATTATAAATTGCATTGCTATTTGTGGGCTGTTTATTCTAATAAAAATTAGAATGATTCATGATTGGATCTGAAACAAAGATTAGTCATGTCCAATGATTGAAAAGTTATCATAGCTCCTACCAACAAATACTTGAATCATTGCTATATTACCTCACATTAAGCTAGAGGTGTTTGTGCTAGTAATTAGTAACATTACAAAAATTCATAAATAAAAGACAATAAAGATCTCCATGGAGAATACAGTTAAACAGGATTTTTAATTGTAGCATTTCTTAGAGTCTCCACTACTTAAATATACATTAACTTTTTCATTATTTTCCTAAATTATTTGACTAGTTTCCATGGAACACACTTTGAAAAATATGACTGAATTTCACTAAGTTTAAATATCAAAATGGACAGGATACCCTCTTTGCTTATTAACATCAATAAAACTGCACATTAAAAAAATTGAATGCTCTATTTCAAAACAATACACTCTCATAACTTTTAATTGTGAAAGACGTCTATTAGAATTGTACATATTAAAAGATCATTTTAGGTAACTTTCCCTTCAGATTTTTGTGCCATTCTTGAGGCACAGGCAATAGCAGGTGACTTCCATTTCTCTCTCCTGAGATAGCACTGGAATAACTCTTGAGCTTACACAATTTCTTATCACTCGTCAGTGGAATTGTAATTTGCTAATTTTATGTCCTTAATATAGAAAGGTCATGGAAGAACATTCTGTATACCAAATGACTTAAATGGCCTATTTCCCTGTTGAAAAGCATCCACTATTTGTTCCCAGAATGTTTCAGTACTATAATTCCCTTTCTCTCCACACATCTTTAGTAACCTAGTTACTCTTTGGCCTTTATACGACTGCATTGGCAGTTGATTTAGTAAGGTCAGTGCCCCCTCATTGTTCACAGCCACTGTGCAATAACTTTTCTTTCACCTTATCTTATAACAAAGTTGAAAAATGCTTCTGTTTTCTGGCTTCCAGGGCTGGGGACCATCATCTGCACATGAATTCTCTGGAATATTACCTAATAAACAATAAATGCCCTTTCTTATCAAACAGGTACAATGATAAATTCAATCTGCGATTTGCTGAGTATGTGGAAATTTCTGCCATTTCGTGATTAGTGGGCTCTGTCCACCTGAGAAATGATTTAACAGCAGAACCAGCAGCTCATACTGAAAAAAAATACATATCAAAGGCAGAAGGTCAAGAGTCTAAATTCTTCCTCAGAAAAATAAGGAGGAGCTAGAATTGGGAAATTTCAGGTATAAATTATGGTCAAGTTAGATTAGAGACACGGCTGTTATAATGGATAATGTTGCAGTTTAAGAAGCAATAAATATATAGAAGGGGACTTCAAAAAGTGCGTGGAAATTTGACATTATCTTTTATTCCATTTTCTGTGAAATTTTAAAGCCCTTTTCTATTCTCTGTACATCTAAATATGTGAAAAATTATAGCTGTGACTGAGTCAAGAAGGTTTTATTTTAATGAGCCCTTTGAGTTTATAACAGCAGTAGCCTTTAATTTAAAAAGTTCTTAGGTTATCAATAGATATCAATACTGCCATTAAAAAGCAGGAAGGTTTTCCATGTTTTATACTCATCATGTAAATTTAACAGTAATAGAGCTATTAGATCTATTAAAATGAATCAAGCAAGGTTATATTTTTAGACTTTTATCCCTGATATTCTATCATAATTTCTTTTTCTGCTGGCTCTTGCATTTATATATGGCTAACAGAAAGGTACACATGGGAACCATTCTACTTGCTATTATTTCACATATTTGTGAATATTTTCCATGTTTCAAAAGTCTTCATATTCAACTGAATTATAATACTCTATGTGCTGAATGTTTAACAATTTGTTAATTCCCTAAACCTATATTTACATTATTAACACATTTCTTTCATTATAGATGGTTATGTAGTCTTAGGGCATGCATGTATCTTTTTGTTTCAGTTGAATTACTTCCCTGGGGAAAAAACCCACCAGACAGAAGAATATTTTTTAAAGGAATTGGGCTAAAACTCCTCTCTGATGGCAGGACCCATATCTCACACATCTTTCTATTTTCTGTAGGCCCTGGAACAATGCTGAAAAACATTACAGGAATTCATTAAATAAGTTAACACATAGCCTTGAAATTTAAATTCTTTACAGAAAAGTTTGTGTTATGATGTGATGGCTGATTCATGATAAATTATCTACTTTCACTTAATTCCATTATTAAAAAAACTTAGAAAGTAAGCATTTATTGATATGATCATGAAAAAGATACGGTGGCAGCATCTGGGCTCGGTGGGAAAGCCTGTTAGGATGACTAGTAATGTCTGCCATAGCAAGGAGAAGAAGCAAACCATGTATTTGCCAACGCTGGAAAAAATTCAATCTACAGAAATGCCTGAGGATGTAATTCTTGAACTATTTTTCTGCCACATTTTCCTCATTGCTTTATATTATTGTACATGCTACTTTTTATTTTTATTTTTTAAAAGTAGTGTTCTTTAAGTGGCTGGGCTTTGGAGGGTGATGCTTGGAGGATATGTGGATTATGTGCTGCTTAGTCCCATGGGTGAGAATATACTAAATCCTTATATTTGTACAGTGGAACAAATATTATCAGGTTGTAATCCACTAAAAACTCTTTTTGGAACTTTAATACACTCCATCTATGAAGTCTGATTAGCCAGGAGAGAAATCTATCTGGAAAGGTGAAAATGTACCCTCTTTCCTTATGATATTTCTGAAACAGTGCTACACGGGGAAACATCTTGTCATTCTGTGTGATTCTACACTGCAGAGTGAAAACAGTGTTTTAGAGCTGGTGGATCTCATTGAATTCCTGATATAATTACTTGTGCATCCTTGGGGAAGTTAGTTCTCTGAGTCTTCATTTCCTCATCTTAGGGTTCAGTATAATAACAGGGATAAGTGACATAATTGAAAAAATACTTCATATAATGACTAGCACATGATAGACTGAACAAATGGCAGTGGTACTTATTGTTGATTATATATTCTATATCATTGATTATGTATGAAATATATAATATATATGTACTTTGTATATACATATATTAGAATTTGCATCCTTATTGATATTGAGATTAGTATAATCATTATCTTGTGCCCATAGTCCATGTGAATTGAATTTAGATTCTCCAAATGGCAAGTAGAAGTTTCATGTCTTCTGATCAATATTTCATACTCTATTTCCTTCTACAAAACCTGGCTTATCACTAAATTACAACACTGGTTCACAGCCAGTTATTTCTCTGTCATGAAAAATATCATTAAAAGTGTTAGCAACAAAAATTACCACAATCTACAATCCAGGGAAATCTGTCATATCGCCATTGCCTTGTTTCACGCCAACTAAAGATGCTTTAAGTCAAAATCTAGAATTCTTTTCAGCTGACTGCCCTCCAGACTCAGGGACTAATTTATAGACTGCTCCTATTATTATTTTTTATTTTTCTTCTGTTTCCACAGAAATGCCTTCTAATAAAGACCTGCTTGCTTAACTTTGATGGGAGCCCTACAATACTACCGCCTAAAGGGAGACACGGCTATTAAACTTAACAGACCTATTCTCAAGACTAAGAAACTGCTATGGCACAATATATTTAAATTGGTTCTTTTCCCAACATGTTTTCCTCCCTGTTCCAATCTGTTATCTCAAAACTTCTAACCCACATCTCTTCATAGTCACGCATCTGACTTTAATATGTGAAAGATTTCTGAAAAGTGTTTCCCTGGGGGAAGTGTTGGAGAGTAAAATATCCCACCCCAAATATTTGAAAAAAGAAAGAAATCAAGCCTGTTCTCTACAATTTGGTATTTAGAGATAAACCATTAAGCAAGAGCTAATTATGTATTGCCTAGGCAGCACTGAGCAAGCCTTCTTCAAAATTCTATTTCAAATTGTTGAAAGTTATTGTGGCTATAAAACAGTCTGATTGGTGCATTATTAACTGAATGGAGGAAGGCAGTACCATTCAGTCTTGGCATATTACAAGTCTCTGAAACACAGGCTTTAATTAAGGTTTTGTATGGACTTTTCCCTACCTTCACGATTTACACATTACTGGAAGCCAAGTGCTTGAAATTTCAACAGTAGGCAGTGGTGGTTACACTTCCTAAGAGCTAACATTCTGTAAGATCTCTAACTATGGCCCAGTGGGTGGTGAGAATGCTCATAAGGTGCCATGGGCTGGGCAGAACATGGTGGCTGAAGCAGCTGACTACCACAGATGGTACTGTCCACTCTCCTCCTTGGATGCCATCTTGAGCGGATTGTTGAGAAGTCCTTAATCTGTAAAACTCTTTCTCAGGGACATGCTGGGGGACCTGAAGTGGGAACTAGAAGAAAGTTATTCTCCCAGTACATTGCAGCTCTGTTGAAAAGGGCATTGGCCAACTGTCTGCAGCCTAGTGGGTTCAGTAGGCTTCAGTGAGGGGAGGGATTGGGGTGCAGGTGAAGAAGATGAAGAATGAATATGTAGGATAAAGTGGATGAAGGTGCGGAAGGAAGGGCTGGGTGACTGTACACTATGTGGTCACTTTGCAATATCAGGCTACAGTATTTAACCCTGGATTTTATGGTAGTTTAATAGGAGGAACTACAAGATTGATCCTGAGGGTTGGGTGAGAGGGACCAAAATGTGTTTCAAAGGGCCAAACACTGCTCCAGGTGCTGGTTGACATACAAACTCATCTGAGCCCTTTCTCCCAGGGTTGTACATCACATGAATTATATGTAATTCTTTGAAAAGTGGTTATACAGTATAATTCATTATAAAAGGACTGGATATATAAGGGTAGCTTGAAATTCACATGTATGAAAGGATGACTGCTTTATATTAGTATGGTAGTTTTGTAATTGTTTTTTACAATTAATTGGGATTAAGGTTATACTTATAATGTCATCACATTCACTTACACATCTACAGATTGTAGGAGAGAAAGCTGGCAAGTAGGGAAGCACACAGTGCTGAGTACTCCCACGGGAGTGCACCAGGTACGATAATGTCAGCAGCAGAAAAAGGTGAGAACTGCTACTGGAAACCACCAGAAGGCTTCTCGGGCCAACAGTCTTTCTATTAGGTGCTCTGATTTTTGCAAAGAAAGATTACAGACATCAAGCTTATGAAATTTCTAATATGCTAGTAAGAGATAACTAAACCAGGGTTTCATAGCCTTTTTCATCCCCCTTTGTCACCTTAATTTCCTCTCCTTTTAGTACTGTGTCATGAGAAAGAATAAAAGCTTCTCAAGTGAATGCTTAAGAAAAAAAAAAAGCAATTAGAGTGGAATAAAAACCGTGGGGATCTAGCAGATGAGAGGGCTATGTCAGCAGAGAGGTGTGAGAGAAACCTGGGAGCTTTGGGACCCCAGAGGAAAGAAGAGTGCAGGAGGGTTTTCTAATAAGAAAGGCTGGGGATTATACATGTAGATTTCTGTACATGTTTCAGAGACACAGGGGAGGAAAGATTGAAACTGTTGCCTAATACAACCTCACTCTGGGGCACACAACTGGGCTTCGGGACTTCCTTGATGGAGGGACAGCTGTCACAGTTTTACAAACAAAGCACACCAGGTGTTCCTCAGTGATCCTTTTATCTACTGCATTGCCTCTCCCTCAACAGTCTCCAGTCTCTGGGACCAGGTGCGGGGTGAGTGGGTGGTACTGGGGATAAAAGGGGGGGGGCTTCTTTGGAAATAAACACACAGCAAAGGATCAGGCATGGATTACCCTGAGGACTTCACTTTTTTTCTCCCCTTCTCAAACAAAAGTACATTATGAACAACAGCAGTAGCACATACATCCTTGTCAGAAGCAAGGATAGCAAATCAGTCACAGAAACTTCCATTTGGTCTCCCAGAGATTAGACTTTAGAATCGAATCAAGCTGCCGGCTTTATATAAAGCACCCAGCTCCTGGTCTGTGTGTGGCAGTGCAGTCACAGAGATGGCCACTCCCTGGCCAGCTGGTGGATTACCGCCCACCCCACTAAGTCACACCATTCTGGCCTGTGCACAGGACCCTCCATGCTCACTTGACCTCTGCATCCTTTTTAATTTTTGGCTTTTCTTCACCTTAGATTCTACAAGGATACTTTAAAATATAATGATTATTCATAATCTTGAAAAAGCAGAGAAGAAAATTATCTGTTTTTCAAAAAGAAGACTCACCTGCCTGCTTCTACAGCCAAAGGGCAGTTAGACAGCCTTGTTGACAGCACTGGCAGTGAAGTGTCAGCCCCTTGCATCATGACAGGCCCAGATTAAATTCTCTCAGTTTACCCATGTCAAAGTCCTTTTCCATTAATGAAGACCTCGCTTCATGGTCTCCTTCTTCTAGCTACTGTCACCTCAATTTTAAAGCATGCCTATAACTCTTTAACAAAACACATAAAAACAAAAACCAAGAAAAATTTCCTCTATCTCCTTTTTTTCCGTCAGAGACAGGTTTCTGGAAAACAAAATTAGTGGTACACGTTGCTCTCCGCTCTGACGGTATATACGCTCTTCCTCTGCTGTCTTGTGCAACTTCATTGAAAACTCTCCTCAAGAGCTGCCCATGAGCAGCTGACACCTCATTGCTCAACCCAACAGGGAGACTTCACTTTCTATTTTACTGAAGCTTTGTGAAGCCTTGGACATTAGGCTCCTTGAAACTCCCTTTTCTTTTAGCTTTTAGGAAATGGTTCCTTCTCAGTTTCCTTCATTACCGCTCAGGCTCTTTCCCAGTCTCCTTTGTGTCCCCTTTTTCAGTTTGTGTCTTAAATTTTGGGGTTAGCGAATGTTATATTGCTTTCCTTTGTTAATTTACATACCTTCTATTCCCTGTAGGTTATCTTAACTACATCTAAAGCTTCAGCAAAAACCTACATGCTGCTGATCTTCCAATCTGTACTCCACTCCATGTTTCTCACCTGAGGTTCAACTTACTTACGGAACATCCCCACCTATATGTCCCACAAACTTCTCTGACCCAGTATGCTCAAAATGGTTTCCTTTCTATTCTAAAATCTTGTCCCTCTCAGTGGCAATATCACTGGCCAACTTGTCAAAAAAAAAAAAAAAAAAAAGAAGAAAAAGAAGAGGTTTGATAAATAGCCTTCATTCATTTTCCCTCCTTCCTTCAATATTCATATAGTGAGCAAGACCCTGTGCCCTGTGGTTTCCTTTGCCTAATAACACAGTATTTTATATCCTGATCGAAAGCTTATTCCCATTCCATGGTTTGGATTGATGGAAACATATAACTTTGTCTCCAGACTTGTTTCCTGTTTTGCACTTGTAGTCTGAATCATCCTTAGAGTGGTAATTCAGAAATGCAAATATGATCATGTCATTCTCTTGCTTAAAACCCTTCAATGGCTGTCCAATGCTTTTATGACAAAACCCAAAGTGTCTCCACTCCTCCCCCAACCCTTACTGCTTCCTGCATTGGACTGCTTTAGGGAAGATGGGCTGGAGTAATAGTTTAATCTCTAGCTATTTCATGCTTGGCTTCACTTTACTGAGGCTGCCAATTAGTGATTTAGAGGTGAACTCTTCTATGCTCTGCTGTGAACGGGGGCCTGTTTCAAATAGTCCTTGAAGGGCTTCAGCCTTATTGTCACTAAAATCCTACACTGACTTGAACCTGTGACTTCTTCTAGTTGAAGGTCTGTATATATTTCTGGGCATCCCCTGAGTCAGGAAAGCAAATTTTGGAAATGCTTTGGTATTTCTAAGTCCTATTTGGTCTAAATAAATATATTTTTAACTTAATGATATCTTAAATGTAATATTTTGATTTTATTTGACTTTTATAATTGCTTTTCCAAGAGAGGTGAGCATATCTTCTCAACTCTACTTTTATAATGGTATATGATGAGTGCTTTCATTTTCTTGTCTTGTCATCTGTCCTTTTCTGGCTTTAGGAATAGAAGTAACAACAGCTAGATGTGATCATATCAGCAGGAAGCATCCTTGCTGCTGGCTGATTTATAAATTGCCACTCTCTTGCTTGCCATTTCTAATAGGTATACAAAACATGGAATGTACAAGAAAATTAAAGGGGCTATGTACACACACACACACACACACACACACACTGCTTAAAAAGGTCAGGAAGGACCAGTAAATAGAGCAAAGATATATAAAAAACACACACAGGAAAAAATATAAACAAGGTAATTCAAAAAGTTTAGATGTAGAGAAAATAGAAGAAACTATTTCCTTTTGAAAGAAAAGTCCATTTTTTAAAATGCTGATAATTTGTCTTTGCCGCTGATAAATAAAACAGGCTTTGTACAAGGTTGACAAGTAGACAGTTACCAAGGCAAACTTCGCCTCTCTACCTGTTATTCTTGTCTATAGCCTGAAAGAAATTATGATTGTCAAGAGAAAAAAAATCAACATTATGCATCTTACACAAGGATGTCCTCCACCAGGGTGTGAAGGGCACTGGGATTGCGGATCAGTTTGTCAAGGAAGCTGACAATGTCAGTAAATTTTGGTCTGTGGTTTCTCTCCTTCTGCCAGCAGTGGAGCATCAGTTGGTGTAGAGAAGCTGGACAGCCCATGGGAGCTGGAAGTCTGTAACCTTCTTCAATGGACAGAATGACCTGAAGGCAAGCATACACAAATCATTCTCTTACTTTTAGAGACAATAATACAAATGCAAAGTAATCATTTCTTCTTATCCAAGCAGTAGAAACCAAAATATCTGTGAGCACGAAAACTGCCTGTGAATACACAGGGTCAAGGTAGGATAAATAGAAAAGCTCCGGACAGAATTCCAAGTAACTCCACAGCAGCTTCGGATGCCTGTGGGGAAAGAACATTTTTAACAGGTGCTATTGGCGAGTGTCATCCGAATCTCGAGAAACAGTTTTCATGTGATTTAGCTAGAACACCTCAAACACAATTAGAACATCAGAAAGTCAGCATAAGATTGATGCATTTGGTGCAAACTACATGTGATGAATGCCTGTAAGTAAAATTGAAGTAAAATTCTGCTGAAGCATGATTTCCTGAATCATTTTTTATCCTTTCATAGTAATGTCAAGGTAGATTCTTTTTCTAACTGCCATCCCCTCTTCTTCATTGCATATTTAGTTCCTCTTCACTTACTTCTAGCTTTTCCTTAATCTGACATTGAACTGATTAAGAAGCCATCTTCCTATAACTTCCAAAGTCACTTTTTCTTGAAATGCTTTCAATGGGAACCTTAATGACATAGAACAACAGCATTCAACCTCAGTATCCAACAGAACTTTCTGTGATGACTGAAAATTTTCTCTTATGATACAGTAGCAACTAATCATATGTGGCTACTGAGTACTTGAAGTGTGGCTGGGAGGACTCAGGAACTGAATTTTTCGTTTTAGTTAGTTTTAATTCATTAAAGTTTAAATTTAAATAGCTGGTTGGGGCAAATGTCTACTCTCTGGGACAGTGTAGCTCTAGGTAAAGAAATCTTTATAAGAAATTGAAGTTAGGAGTAACAACAAGATGACAGTGAGTATTTTTCATAGTAATTAGGAGATAACACACAAGATCAGGCAGGGCACTCATCTGTTTAATATATGACTCTCATGGAAATTTCCTAAAAATGCCATAAATTGATCCTGAATTTCTGTAGCTTTTATTTTTGTGAAATGTTAGCTAGAACATATATATATATGTGTGTGTGTATGTATATACATATGTACATATATATATAGAGAGAGAGATAGGACTGAACAGAGCTCCTTGGCCACACCCAGCACATGCCTCTAGGTATTCATTGAAAAAGTGGACACCCCATTAATCCACACAGACATAGCCCAAAGATAAAAGCCAACACAGAAAATTAAAGAAAACAACGTCTATCTCCACAAATGCCAAATAATAAATGCACCAATTCAAGAAACAAGAATAAGGAAGACAACAAGACACCCACAAAAGAACACAACACTTCAATACTAGAATGTGAAAATGAAGAGATTCAAGAAATGCCAGAAATGGAATTCAAAAAATGGATCATAGGATTACTTAGAAGTAATCAGAAGCAAGTCCACGAACTAATGGAATCCATACATGACATGAAAGAAAATTTCCCCCACAAAATTTAGATCTTAAAGAGAATCAGGCTGGCACCACAGCTCACTAGGCTAATCCTCCGCCTGTGGCACTGGCACCCCGGGTTCTAGTCCTGGTTGGGGCACCGGATTCTGTCCCAGTTGCTCCTCTTCCAGTCCAGCTCACTGCTGTGGTTCAGGAGTGCAGTGGAGGATGGCCCAGGTCCTTGGGCTCTGCACCGGCATGGGAGACCAGGAGGAAGCACCTGGCTCCTGGCTTCAGATTGGTGCAGTGTGCTGGCCGCAACATGCCAGCTGTAGCGGCCACTTGTGGGGGGGTGAACCAACAGAAGGAAGACCTTCCTCTCTGTCTCTCTCTCTCTCACTGTCTAACTCTGCCTGTCAAAAAAATTTAAAAAAATTAAAAAAAGAGAAATCAAATGAAATCTTAGAAATGAAGAATTCAATAGAACAAATAAAAAAATGAAGTGGAAAGCCTTAACAGAATCAGTGAAGCAGAAGTACGAATATCTGACTTACAAGACAAATTGCAGGAAATTTTACAGTCAGACCAAAAACAACAAGAAGAAATTAGAAAATTAAAAAAAATATACTGTTGGAGATCTACAAGATACTATCAAACAACACAACAACGGGTCTTAGGAGTTCCTGAAGTCGTGGAAAGAAAGAACGGATTAGAAGGCCTTTTTAGTGAAATAATTACAGAAAACTTCTCTTACTAGGAGAAAGAAACGGGCATTCAAGTACAGAAAGCACACAGAACTCCTAATAGACATCACCAGAAAAGATTTTCACCACCACACATTGTAGTCAAACTTTCCACATGAAGAAAAGATTCTAAAATGTGTGGGAGAGAAACACTAGATTATTTTCAGATGATCTCCGATTAGACTCACAGCTGACTTCTCATCAGAAACCCTACAGGCTAGGACAGAATGGCAAGATATATTCCAAGTATGCAGAGAAAAAAACTGTCAACCATAATACTGCACTCTGCAAATCTCATATACATGAATGAAGATGAAATAAAAACCTTCCATAGCAAACATAAATTGAAAGAATTTGTCACTACCCGTCCAGCCTTACAAAAGATGTGTAAAGAAACACAGAAACACAGAAACATGATCATCACTATGAAAGAAGGTGAAGGCAGAAAATCTCCCAGTAAAATTACAATGGAAATCCAAAGTAAACAACAGGAACATTAATGGGAAAATGGCAGGGCCAAGTCGTTACTTATCAATAGTCACCTTGAATGTAAATAGCCTCAACTCTCCAGTCCACTCTGCCTGTCAAAAAAATAAAATAAAATAAAAAATAAAAAAATAAAAAAAACCTCTCCAGTTAAAAGACAGAGACTGGCTGAATGGATTAAAAACAAAATCCATCTATTTGCTGCTTACAATAAACACATCTTACCAACAAAGATGCACACAGTCTGAAAGTGAAAGGATGAAAAAACATATTCCATGCTATAGAAACCAAAAAAGAGCTGGTGTAGCCATGATAATATCAGACAAAATAGACTTTAATGTAAAAACTGTCAAAAGAGACAAAGAAGGGCACTATGTAATGGTTAAGGGATCAATTCAACATAAAGATGTGACTATTATAAATGTATATGCACCTAATTACAGAGAACCTGGCTATTTAAAAGAAATGTTTATGGATCTAAAGGGAGACATAGACTCAACTACAATAGTAATGGGGGACTTCAGTACCCAACTTTCAGTAATGGATCACAGATCAACCAGACAGAAAATCATCTAGGAAACAACAGGGTTAATTGACACTATAGACAAAATAGACCTAATAGATATCTACAGAACTTTCCATTCTACAGCCACATTATACATATTCTTCTAACCAGTGTATGAATCTTTCTCTAGGACTGACCACATGCTAGGCTATAAAGCAAGTCTCAAAAACTCAAAAAACTTGAAATCATACCATGCATCTTCTCTGACCACAATGGAATAAAGTTGGAAATCAACAACTTAGGAATCTCTAGAATATATGCAAACACATAGAGACTGAATAAAATACTCCTGAATGAACAGTGGGTCACTGAAGAAATAAAAAAAAATCCTGGAAACAAATGAAGATGATAAAAGATCATATCAAGACTTATGGGATACAGCAAATGCAGTGGTAAGAGGAATGTTTATAGAAATTTGTGCCTACTTCAAGAAATTGGAAAGTCACCAGATAAATGAGCTATCGATGAATTTCAAGGACCTGGAAAAACACCATCAAACAAACCCAAAACTAATAGGAGAAAAGAAAAAATTAAAATTAGAGAAGACATAAACAAAATTGAAAGAAAAAAATACAAAAGATACAAAAAGAAAAAACACAAAAGCTAGTTTTTTGAAAAAATTAAATTGACACACCATTGGCCCAACTAACCAAAGAAAGGAGGATGAAGAGCCAAATTAATAAAATTAGAGATGAAAAAGGAAATGTAACAACAGATACCACAGAAATAAAAAGAATAATCAGAACTTACTACAAAGAGCTGTATGCCAACAAACTGGGAAACCTAGAAAAAAAAATGGATAGATTCCTGGACACATGCAACCTACCTAAATTAAGCCATGAAAACACAGAAAACATAAACAGACTCATAACCAAAACATAAATTGAACCAGTAAACAAAGGCCCTCCCAACAAATAAAAGCCCAGGACCAGATGGCTTTACTGCTGAATTCTAGGAGAGACTTAAAGAAGAACTAACTCCAATTCCTCTCAAATTATTAAAAAAATACTCAAAGGGAGGGATTCCTCCCAAATTCTTTCTATGAAGCCAGCATCACATTAATTTCTAAACCTGAAAAAGATAAAACAGAAAAGAGAACTACAGAACAATTTCCCTGATGAACACAGGCGTAAAAATCCTCAAAAAATACTAGCCTATAGAATCCAACAACACATCAGAAAGATCATTCCCAAGGACCAAGTGGGATTTATCCCTGGTATGCAGGGATGGTTCAACATTCTCAAATCAATCAATGTGATATATCACATCACAAATAGAAGAACAAAAACCATATGATTATCTCAATAGATGCAGAGAAAGCATTTGGTAAAATACAACAGCATTTCAGGATGAAACTCTAAGTAAATTGGTTATAGAAGGAACATTCCTCAACACGATCAGGGTAATTTATGACAAACCCACAGCCAGCATCCTATTGAATGGGGAAGAGTTGGAAGCATTCCCATTGAGATCCAGACCAGGTAAGGATGCCTACTCTCATCATTGCTATTCAATATAGTTATGGAAGTTTTAGCCAGAGCCATTAGGCAAGAAAAAGAAATCAAAGGGATACAAATTGGGAAGGTGGAAGTCAAACTACCCCTATTTGCAGATAACATGATTCTATATATAGGGGATCCAAAAGACTCTACTAAGAGTCTATTGTAACTTAAGAAGAATTTGGTAAAGTAGCAGAATATAAAATCAACACACAAAAAATCAACACCCTTTGAATACACAGACAAAGCCACAGCTGAGAAAGAACTTCTAAGATCTATCCCAT